ATGACAAGGACTGCATGGCGAGCGAGCAAAGTTTTTGAATAAACCTACAAAACAACAAATGACGTTTGAACAGAGTTGCCAATGCGACAAAAAAGTGGTGGCAGGGCAGGTTGGCCAAAAATGTAATTATCGATAACAGAGTAGAACGAGGAGAAGACGTAGTGAAAACTAGAAAGAAACAGGACAATCCGTTTAATGCCTACTTTCTTCTACTTATGTACATTGGTTTCCCATATGCTCGCCGAGATATATAATGGAAACACCTTTTTTGACCTGATTCTTACCGCATCAAGTTGTTTTATTGGGGAATTTGAAGAGCCGCATGAGTCAGAGAGTGCAGTTCGCACATCGATTTAAATATGGCACGCACACACTCACCCTCTGCATAAATGTGTGTGTGTGTGTGTGTGTGTGTGTGTGTGCTTACGCCCACGCCTTAAATTATTGAACCAAAAATTTAAGTAGGGGAAAAGACATTGCAGAAAAATATTGCCGAAATACATTTTCAACACGAGGCCAAGTGCTGTCTGCTTAACCTTTGATGAATGAACAGAGGAACAAAAAGAATATAACCAAGCTGAGGAGCAGAGAGAAACGGCAGCGGAAAGAAAAGCAAAGAGAACCTACAACAAAAATTCATCATGAACGAGTTCAACAGCAGCCGTTCGTTTGTTCTCGTTGCTGCGCATTGGTATGTGTGTTGGCCCGTGTGTGTGTGTGTGTGTTTGTGAAAAAGAAAATCAACCATAAAATTTTTGCACGCTACCGCAGAAAATATTCAGCAAATTGTATCTCTCTCTCTTGACCAAAAAAGTAAGATACCCAAAGTTCATTATACTCAAAGTGCGTTATTATTATTATGGCTCTTATTTATTATTGTTTTTTGTAAGTGTTTCACATACGTTTCACTGCTGCAACAACAAAAACAACATCAGCTAGAAAGAAGCAGAAGCCGCACTGACGTTGCCAGATCGCCAACGGACATCTTTGTCACGCTGCCCAAAAGAGAATTCGCGAAAGCAGTCGAACCAAAATTATGTACATGTGTAAGCAGCGAGGAAATTAAACTACTAATTTTCGTGGGAGAGGCGGGGGGTCAATTGCACGATCCCACCAATGCAATGACCTTTGATTTTAATTGAGTAGTTGCAGCATAAAAGCTTTTACGTTTTTTTCTTCTTTTAGCTTGCATTTAGCATTTCGCAAATATGCTTGTGTGCTAGACAAAGAAATACATGGGCATTTACGCATACTATGGCAAACCAGCGAGCAGTCGAACAGCTGATAAATCATTCACCCACACTAGCATGCGAATAGGGCTAGCACACACACACACACTGACATGCAAAACTCAAACAACAGCCTTCCGGTGTGTATGAGAGAAAGAGAGCGCTGATTCCCTCACGCTGCAACAACAATTGCGTGTAGCACAAATATGTGCGATCAATTCGAGGTATTTCCCCTCGTAAAAGCGAATATAATGCGAATCTGTGGAGCGGCAAGCATGGATTTACTTTGAAATAAAAATACTTGTTCAGCTACGATAATAAAACACTCGATTATTTTGATAAGGTGTGCCAGCTAAGTGATAACACAACGCCTTTAATCATCTGACTTAGCCAAATGGTTGCACTATCAATCAAATTCGGTTTACTTTTAGTTTCTATACCATATGATTATAGGGAGATTTCTGCAATTTTTATGCCGCTTATCATTACCGTCTTTTCTAGACTATTTGGTTATTTTTAAGTAGCAAAGATAGTTCTGAGTTCATTGTACCCTCCTATAACTCTAAGCAACGAAAGATGGTTCCGAGTAATAGATGGGTTTATAAAGATGGGTTAAGCATGTGTTTATGACTAAGGCCGCAGAAATACTAGTTCTACTTCTAGAGGCTTCGAGTAACAAGCTTGAAAAGATTTTCAAATTCTACCAAAATGTCACCTATCTAAAAGATCGATGGATGTGCAGGACAACTTTAAAGCGAATACAATACTGTTCAAGGGGAATTAGAGCTGGACTAGTCTGGTATGGGAGAAAACACTGCGTAATGGTTTAAAGGTGCGATGACACCTGGCCAACTCACCTCTGAAACAGACTCCTCCTCCGATTCGGACAGGTCTGTGGTGACGGGCTGGGGATAGAACTCGGTGTCGGTGTCAGTATCCGGCGTAATGATGTTTTGCAGCGCCGAGGATATGGCATTCACGATGCCCGCCGACGAGGACAGCGAGGAGGCGGTTGACGACATGGACGATGTGGCGGAGCGATTGGAGGCGGAGGCCGAGGCAGCGGCAGCCGCATCCTTTAGCTTTTGCTTAAGCAGGACAGCGGCATTGGCCACATCTACGGCGGGATTTAGGGCCATTCTGGCCCCGCCTCCCGCTCCGCCAGATGATGATCCTCCTGCACCTGATCCACCGGTAGCAGCGCCAGCGTTGCTATCGGCGGCAGCTGCGGCGGCGCCCATCAGCAGAGTGGTTGCGGCGAATTTCAAATGCGCCGAATCCTTGCTGGTCAAGTTGGGGGTATTACCGGAAACGGGCTGCTGCTGCTGTTGTTGTTGTTGCAAGGCCACCTGTCGCTTCAGGGCGGCCACTGCTGCTCGGGTCTTCTTCGAGGACGAGGAGCTGGAGGAGCTACTACTGGGGGCAGGAGCAGTTGCGATTGCTGCTGCTGCTGTTGCCGCAGCAGTTGCAGTTGCATTTGCAGGAGCGTTGGTTGCAGGCAGTGCTGGGCTGGGCGCTGAGGCCACGGCGGAACGGAACTTGGCAGCACTTCCAGCTCCGGTATTGGCTACCGATGCGGGATTGGCTATTACCGTGGTGCCGCTACCGACACCGCCACCGCTGCCACTCCCACCGCCTCCGCTGCTGCTGTTCGTTGTTGTTGAGGTGGTTGTGCTGCTGCTGGTGGCCGTGGGCGGTGTGGGCGTGGCTGAGGCCTGACTGCTACTGGTTCCAGACATCTTGGCAGTGTTATTGGTGTTGTTGTTGTTGTTAACTTTCAATCGACTATTGCTGGGTAATGGTGTGTTGGTTAAAACGCCTGATGACTCCGTCGTCAGTGGCTCATTCTTGGCCGACAGGATCTTCCGCCCGCTGTTTTTCAGACTATCATTCGCCAGTAGAGCGGCGGCTATGGATTGTCTGGCGGCAGCGATACGGGGTAAATTATGATTCAACTGTCTGTTGGACTTTTGATTGGTGGTTGTGGTGTTGTTGTTATTATTGGAGCCGGAGCCAGAGCCTGCGTTATTCTTGCTGGTTGCTGGTGCTTTCGGTTGATTGGTTGTGGTTTGTTGGTTAAAATACGCCGTGGAGCGCACATTCAAGTCATCGCATTCATGGTTTTTCGCATCATTATTCATTTTACTCTCTCGCTGGAGGTTCTGTGTTGTTAGGGTTATTTTATTTTGATTTACTTTCAATTCACGCGTCCTTTTGGTCATCAAAAAAGGTAAAGGTATAGAAATTAAATTTTTATTTTTTTTGGGTAAACAGAGGTCAGGTCCCAAGTAAATGTCACTTTAAGTGAATTTAACAACTTTGTTGATGTGTTTTTCAAGAAAGAGGGGGCGCTACAAAAACACATCAACAAAAATAGGTTCTTCGGTTATATTGATTTTTGGATATTGTGAGGAATCGGTTTTATATATGCGATGGGCAAAGAAACTAACACACACATTCGCACACGCACGCACATGAGCCAGCGGGGTGGCAACACTGCGCATTCTTTCACTTTGTCTTTGCACACTCTTTCGTACATCGTTCGTTCGCATTTAATTCTCCCATTCCATTTCCCCTGTCCACTGATTCACATTTTTACACCGAAAATGGTTCAGGTGCAAAACGAAACAAAAAAATTACACTAAATCACTCAATTCCCCAAGTTTCGTATCGCCAATTTCGTTTATTCACGGATACAAAACCAATCGATGCGCAATTAGGACTCGGGGCAACGTGCTTCACTATTTATATAATCGCAGAGGGGAGACGCCGCCGAAACGACCAATCGAAGGATGCAATTTGCAAGTTTACCAACATTCGAGAACTTGCAATTGCAGTACTTTATTTATAAAACTTTTCGCAGCAGTTTCGACTTCGCCCGAACGAACGACGAAAAATCACTTTTCGACTTTGGCGTATGCGTTTCTCGCTTGGTCGATAGCCTCGTCTCTCTCCCGCAGACGCGATTCCCCGACGCGGCCAGTCGAACCGCTATTACCGTCCCGCTCACACGCGCAGCGAAGGCAGAAAATAGCTGAACGACTGGGGGAAAATTTTTTTTGCCACTATTCCGATGTCGATTTTCACCAATTAACTGACGTTTGCAGGACAAAAAACTAGCACAATGCACGACCCACACGATCGACAACAATTTAGTTATATTTGCGCGTATTACCGTTTAAAATTTGTAGCAAATTAATCAATTTTTCAGCAGTGTTAAATTCTCTGTCTATCGTCAGAGTTTCGGATCGCCATATTATTCCCGGATATTGAAAGAAAAGGTAGGACCCTACTGCGTCTCGCGATATGAACTCACATCGATATTTCTCCCTTCACTTTTGTTTCCGGCAAGTTGGTATTTTTGAATTGTCTCGTTGCGGTCCCATTGCCTTTTAATTTGTTTACTTACTCTACTTATGTTATACATGTAAGCGTTAATTTAATAGAGATATTTTGAATTTTGTTTTAAGACCTTGCAAATCCGAAATTTTAAGGTTTTGGCGTAGCATTTACGACTGTGCCATTTTTCCGTTTATAATTGAAAAATTTTCAATTATATAAGTGTGCCCATATACTAAAAAATGTGCAATGCTAAAATTTGCATCTTAATTTTAAAAAGGTTTTGGCTTGAAATGATCATGTACATGATTTAATTAGCTCAAATATTAACGATTTTCCGCGAAATATTGCGATTTTAAGCCATGAACTTTAATCGGGAAATTCGCGTTATTCTGGCGATGTTTTCGGGCCGAACCGGGAAAGTCATCGATAGTACATCGCGTACATACTGATTATCGTTCCAGCTCTAACATTTTTTTTCCAAACTAACAACACGACGTGTCATTTGCCGGACTGGGAGGAATAAAACGATATTAGAATGCATACGGTGTTAACCCGAGGAAACGCCACGGTGGCATACACGCTGAGCGTTCTGGCCTGCCTTACATTCAGTTGCTTTTTGTCCACCGTCTTTCTGGACTACCGGACCGAGGCAAACATCAACACGGTCAGAGTACTGGTGAAGAATGTCCCGGATTACGGAGCGGCCCGGGAGAAGCACGATTTGGGCTTCGTGACCTTCGACCTGCAGACGAATCTCACCGGCATCTTTAACTGGAACGTAAAACAGCTGTTCCTATATCTCACCGCCGAGTACAAGACACCTGCCAATCAACTCAACCAGGTGGTACTGTGGGACAAGATCATCCTGCGCGGCGAGAATGCGGTGCTGGACTTCAAGAACATGAACACCAAATACTACTTCTGGGACGACGGCAATGGCCTGAAGGACAACCGCAACGTGTCCCTATACCTCTCTTGGAACATCATCCCGAACGCTGGACTCCTGCCCTCCGTACAGGCCACTGGGAAGCACCTGTTCAAGTTCCCTGCCGACTACGCCACCTCGTCCATTTAGAGTTTAGGGCTAATGCTAATTAAAGCTGGTTCCGCCCAGGTTCCGTAGCCTGTAGTGTCTATCTTATAAAACCCCAAATAAAATATCTTCGTTAAGATTTCGAAATGTATCCCAGACGAAGGAACTTTATAGAAAATCGTTGAAAATAATTTATTTTTGGTTTTTTTGAATGCTGACAATTTAATCTATAGTTTTCTATAGTTTCTTTTCTTGTTAGCCACTGAGTGACTTTAGAGCGTTATTACTTAATGTTCGGTTTTTCGGGTCATATCGGGGTTTGGTATCATTGGTAGCAATCTCTTGGGAGGAGTTCGTATTAGGGTTCAAGAAATTCGTTGCCGCATTTATGATAGGAGAAATCATTTTTCTCAAAAGTTCCGCTGAGGTGTTAACGGATATAGCGACAACCAAAATGGCAATGAGGAGCTGTGAAGAATTTAGAAAATATTGTATTTCGCAACACAGATATTACAGGCACGAACTACTCACCAATTTTACGGAGGCCATGTTGATATCCACTGAAGAAATCAAAAACCATACTAAAATGGTGTAAGCCATCTCCAATATATATATATCTATTATTCAAGGCCGTTTTGAATGACTTCGTCTCAAAAATGAAAACTGAGTCAAATTGGTTAACATCTTTTACAAGTCTTGAGCAATCGCTTAATATAAACCAATTTCAAAGACTCACCGACCTTTGAAAATGTAATCCTTAAGCCGAAGATGATGATGAACGCAACATGGGAAAATACTTTTTCGGTTAATTTACAACTGATACGAATAAAAAATGGAATTTGCATTCGGAAGATTATTTTTATTTGAAACTTCCTAAAGAGAAGCATTTAGTTAATAGATTATTTATTGTACAGTGGGGATTATTATTTGTGGTAATATTATTTAAAGCTGCAGCAACTGACATGTGATAACACAGTTGTCCTTGGCCTAGTTTTGTACAAAAACATAATAAATTCATACAAAAAATGTTTATTTATAAGATCAGTTTAGTGTTAATATGGCAACGTATGCATGTAGTACAAACTTGAGTAAATGCATTCAGGAGTTCACAGTTTTATGATTATCTATCAGATTACATATTTATTTAAATGCGGCCCGACTTGGAGCTTGCGAGCGTATCTAATTTTGATATTTTCTAGTCTATATGTATAATAATTAAACAAAAAAATAAATAATATTATCTAATTATAAAACAATACATTTTATGACTATAAATTTGATATACCTATAGTTCATATAAATACTTTAAATATACGTTGAGATCATATTTTTGACATACTTTTTTACTATTTGTTTCTCGCTTTTTGGCGATATTCTTCTAAAACTTCCCGCATTCGCTTGACGAACATAGCCTGATCATTCGGAATGAAGCCCAAGAACGCGTTCCTGGTGGATGAATACAGCAGCATGATAACTTTGCAGACAACCTCGTTGGAAAAGCGGGCACAGCCACAACTGCCGGCGGTCATCGACGATGCTAGCGAGTCGTGCTCTTCTCCAGGTGTCGATCGGAGAATTATAATTTTTGATGCCTTAATAAACTCTCCGGCGAACTGACTAAGGTAAATTGTGGGCATCAAAATCATAGACATATCAGTTGGCCAATCCTCCGAACTGATCCCTGGTTCACCGTTTTTCAAAGCGATGTACACGGAACTCTCTAGCTTGTGACTAATGCTTTGCTTTGAATCTGTTTGTGTTGTCCAATTCAGCGTTCCCGTCCATAAAAGTTCATTTATAATGGCCTCTTCCTCCTGCGGAGGCGCTTCTTCTGGCTGTGGCTCTATGGGTGCTTGGACGCCCGGCTTTCGTTTTGCTCCCTGAAGAACCTCTTGCAGTCGTCCGCTAAACAAAACCTGATTATTGGGTATGAAGCCTAGCAGAGCTTGGCGGTCGGGTGAGTAGAGTAGAATTAGAGCCTTAATGCTGCAGTTGGTATTTGGGGAAAAGTGGATGCAACCAGCGAAACCGGAGCTCATCACCCTGACCAACGAATTGAGTATTTCTCCTGGGCTGGATCGGAAAACTACTATTTTGGCATCCTTAAGGAATTGTTCGCCAATTTTACCTAGCACTTTTTTGGATATCAATTGTGTCTTCAGCTTCTTTGGCCAGTTCTCCGACTTGATCTCCGGCTGACCATCCTTAGTCTTGGTGCAGACGTTGAATTGAAGCGTGTGCAGAGTCTTTGGTTTATCCGATATCGATGCGTCCTCCCATTCCAGCTCTCCTCTCCAAATTGGTTCCTTTGGGTCAGCATTTTCAGGATTCCCCGGGTCATCTGGCAAAAGCAACGCCCCTAACATATGCGTTAGACAATCGAGTTCCCCCTCGTCATCATCCACTCCGCGTGCCTCCTCCGGAACCGGCTCCATGCTCTTTTCAAGATGCAATCTAATTAAATTTGGATGAGGTCGGAGAGGGAACTTGTCGGTTAAAAATTTGTTTAATTTTTTGTTTATCAGTGATATGCTTCTTCTTGCGTTTAGCGGTTTGTTATTGGTATCGCACTATCGGTTGGTCGATTGGCCATCGAGAGACAACGCAATGCAACCCTGGCCAATCACTCTCACTTCTTCTTCTGCGTTTGTGTCAAAACAAAATTGAAACTAAAAACTCGCTTAAACCGTCTCCCAGCGCAATTATCATTGGAATTCGTGTTATTTATGTGTTCGAATGTAAGCGTCGGCACCCCACATCCCAGTGTTCATGACCCCATGTGTGCCACATTGTTTTAAATGCCACCAATCTTCTGGCAGAGTATCGCGTCTGAGCGAATGAAAAAACTGGAAATGTTTCGCTCCAAGCATTTGTGACTGACCAAATCTCATTTAAAACCCTGTCATGCTGCAGTACAAGAGTGCCGCCAGTGCGGCGACTAGTGCGGCCCCAGCCACGACTTCGGCGGCAGGCGGTGCCAGCAAGGCGACGATTCCACCAAATGGAGCAAGTGCAGCAGCTCCACAAACGCAGGTCCAGGGTGCCCCCGGAACACCAACCATGCAGCAGATCATCAACATTCACCAAATGCCTCCCCAGTTCGCTGGCGGAGCGGTTGCCGGGAGCGGCCAGAACCCTAGCATGCCCCAAAACATGTTCCAGATCGTACAACCCATGCCCATGCAAACGGTAAACATTGATGGCCAGGAGGCCATCTTCATACCAAACCTCAATGCACAATTGGCCACCGCTCAGGCGGTCAACTTTAACGGACAACAGGCCTTCATCACGCCCAACGGTCAAATCCTGCGGGCTCCCCAGATCGCGTCCAATCCGGCAGCCTCTAACTGCATCCAGCTGCAACAGCTGAACGGTTTGGGACAGGAACAAACCCAGCTGATCACCATACCCGGCACAAACATCCAAATACCCGTCACCAATCTCATTCAGCAACAACAGCAGGCACAACAAGCGCACCAGGGTGCAGTGCAACAGGCAACAGCAGGAACAAATGCTTCTGGAGCAAATGGAGCGGGAGTCGCCAACAGTGGGACAGCGGGTCAGCTGCCGGGTAGCATCACCATACCGGGCACGAACCTGCAGATACCAACCTCGGTGGCGGCGGCCAACGGATTGCTGGGAAACATCTCCAATATCTCCAACTTACTAGGCGGCGGGCAATCTATAAAGTTGGAGAATGGCCAATTGCAGATGCGGCCGCAACTGGTACAGTTTCCGGCGCAAGCTATGCCGCAGCAGCAACAAACGGTTGCTGTGCAAATTCCCGTTCAGACTGCCAACGGACAGACCATCTACCAAACGGTTCATGTGCCCGTCCAGGCAGCGGCAACATCGAACGGAGGGCTGCAAAACCTGATGCAGGCGCAATCCCTGCAGATGCCCGCCGCCTCGCAGATGCAAATCATCCCGCAGTTCTCACAGATAGCTCAGATTGTTACTCCCAACGGTCAGATTCAGCAGGTGCAACTGGCAATGCCGTATCCTCAGCTGCCTCCGAATGCCAACATTATACATATCCAGAATCCCCACCAGCAGCAGCAACAAGTACAACAACAACAGCAGCAGGTCCAACAGCAGCAGCAAGCGCAACAGCAACAGGCACAGCAGCAACAACAGCAGGTCCAGGCGCAGCATCAGCAGCTCCTTCAGGCGATCAGCGAAGCCTCGGCGGGGGGACAACTGCCTCCCAATCAGCCCATTACCATTACGAATGCCCAGGGCCAACAGCTGACCGTGATTCCCGCCCAACTAAGACCAAATGCGCCTCCCGCACCCACTCCTGCCCCAGCTGCTGTGCCCACACCAATGCAGATGTCCAATCTTCAGGCGCTGCCCATCCAGAATATCCCAGGCTTGGGTCAAGTCCAAATCATTCACGCCAATCAGCTGCCTCCAAATCTGCCAGCCAACTTCCAGCAAGTACTTACCCAACTACCCATGTCGCAGCCTCAGGTGCAAACTCAGGGCCAAGTGCAGGTGATGCCCAAGCAGGAGCCGCAGAGTCCCACGCAAATGATCACCAGCATCAAGCAGGAGCCGCCGGATACCTTTGGACCTATTTCCGCATCCGGTAATCCTCCGGCACCTGCATCTACTCCAAGCACATCCTCACCGCAACAGCAGCAGATCAAGTTCCTGCATACGGAAAGCAACTCCCTGTCCAGCCTGAGCATACCAGCCTCCATTCAAATCACAGCCCTGCCACAGCAAGCGACGAATCCACCGAATACCCCAGCCACACCCCAACCAATTCCTGTATCGTTACCTGCAAGAAGTAAAGTCAATGCTGTTAGCACGTCTAGCACGCAGATTACGATTGCGCCGACTGGTGGCCAAGTGGTGTCCGTGACCACGCAGGCTAGGGGAGCAACTGCCAGCATAAGGAGCACGAATACTAGCACGACGACTATAACAACGCCGTCACAGAGCCATCTCAATATGAACATTAGTGTGGCGAGCGTCGGAGGTGGTGCAACTGGAGGCGGCGGTGGAACACCGGCTGGAGAGCCGAAGCCACGCTTAAAGCGAGTAGCCTGCACCTGTCCCAATTGTACCGATGGCGAAAAGCACTCGGACAAGAAGCGCCAACATATCTGCCACATCACCGGCTGCCATAAGGTGTACGGGAAAACCTCCCATCTAAGGGCTCACCTGCGTTGGCACACTGGCGAGCGACCCTTTGTCTGCTCCTGGCCGTTTTGCGGCAAGCGCTTCACCCGCTCCGATGAACTGCAGCGCCACCGACGAACGCACACGGGTGAGAAGCGGTTCCAGTGCCAGGAGTGCAACAAAAAGTTCATGCGCAGCGATCACCTGTCAAAGCACATCAAGACGCACTTCAAGAGCCGCTCTGGCGTGGAGCTAATTGAGCTGAGCATCAAGCAGGAGACCAAGAGTGGTAATGCACCCAAAAGCATTAGCACGATGAACGGCATTGTTACGATAGAGATTCCGGGCGGCGGTGCGGCGGCTGCGGGCAGTGGAGCCTCCAGTGTTGCGGCCACGGTTGCGGGCTCAACTGTGGCGCCGGGCGGGGCCACGATCGTTCAGCTGCCGACCGTGGAAGCCAGCGGCGGGGGCGATAGTTTCGGCGATGATGAGGACGACGAGGAGGATGAGGAATTGACCGAAGAGGACGACGAAGATGAGGAGCTCGACGAGGACGAAATGGATGATTGCGAGGATGATGAGGATGACGAGGACCCGGAACTGGACAGCGGCGATGAAGTGAAAATGACAATTGCGGTCAGTGAGCCGGGCGACAATTCGTCTAACTAGCATTCGGAGTCACTGTTCATGGAACAGTTCTTGTTTGACCACTTCCCGTAGCACCCACCGCCCCCTGCCACGCCCCATGGGACCATGGTTTAGCTATAAATAAATTGTACATAGCGTAATTATGTAAAAGCGAGCATTTTAAATGTTTATCATCGTGTACAGTTCCGGTTGCGGATCATCCTAGACTAGTGTACATAGCTTAATCGAGCCTCGTATTTTAATTAAGGATTTTTATTACACATTTTATAACATTTTTAGGGATTACATGTTTTTAATTAAATAACACCAATAAACGCAGAACTTTATATAGTTAAAAATGGTAACTTACAAATGATATACGGACATCAGGCCATCGAATCAACGTCGATCGGCTCAGACCCCGAATTTTGTAAACTGATATTTCCTTCTGAATCAATTGACGGTCCAATCGACATGCTTTCCGAATTAATTTGATCACACCTTACCCAACTCTCATTCGTCTCGGTCTCTGGACAGGCTATCTGATCATCAGCCTCTTGAGTCGACGTGGGTCGTACTGATGTGCTCAATTGGGTGCCAAACATATAGTAGTCCGGCGCAGACTCCGAATTAGTCAGTCCCATCGGCAAGCTACCCGAATTAATTTGATCGCATCTCATCTGTGTCTCTGGACAGTCGGTGTGCTCGGTCTGAAATTCTGACTGCTGCTGTTGCTGTTCGTCCTCATCGTCCCCGATGCCGCTAAGATCTGATGCCGACACGACTGGCCGAGCCATCGGTTCCATTTGAGACACTGAATACCGATTTGTGTTAGCTTGGTCTTCGTGGGTCTCCACCGCTTCATTATCCTGAGAATCTTGCTGAGATGCATGACCGACCAGAGCTGAAGAGGATTCTGGTGCCGATCGGTTTTGACTCTTTTGCTTTTGCCATCTATCCAATCGGCTGATGTTGAACTTCTTGGTCTCGGCGGCAATCACTTCTCTTCGCTGGGCCACATACTCCTCCGGATACGGTTGGACCATCTTCCTGCGCACCGCTTTCATATACATTCGGTTGATAAATTTCTCAGATTTGTTTTCAAAACGCCCTTTTGCGTCAAACCTCTTTTTGGCCTCCCACAAACAATTCCAAGCGGTCATATCGACTTTTACTTTGGTGCGTAGACACAGCTCCCTTACCTCGTCCTTGGTGTATGGGCGCTTCAAGTCATCCTCTGTTATTCTCTTCAAATACAGGGTACTATAGTTAGTCATTGCCAAATTCACCAAATCAAATGCCTCTTACCGTTTTTTCGTGCATCCATAGAATCAATTTGTTTTTGGGATCGCTTTCTTTGAATTGCGCACGAATTTTTCTGTCCTCATCGGCTAGATACTTCCTCAGGAAGCTAGATATTTGCGTGTCAGACATTTTACGCTTTGTATAAACCCACACGATATAAAATTAAAAAAAATCTACATTTTTTGATGAAATTCGCGGCTAAATGCCGATCTACTCTCTGTGAGGTTATCGATTAATCAGTATTTACAGTTTCTTAATGTTTTAGCTCGATTCTAGCTAAATTTTTTTGCTTATTATCAATTATGCAAAGTCATGATCTCATAAAAACATACAATCCTAATAAGGCTTACTGAAAAAAAAAAACAATACAATTAACAGGGGCCTTAAAAACTGGCATTATTAATATAGGTTTTCTGTCTAATCTAGCTACTTTCTCTCTACGATAGTTGGAAGCACTGATTGCCAATTTTTTTCGATAGTCGATAAACAGCGAGTGGGCATTTCCGCGTACGCCAAACCAGCGCACAAAAAAGAAATGGAAAACGAAGGAAAGCGAAGAACGAGAGTTTACACATAGCAGCAGCAGGCTAAATTCACAAAAACCTCGTCCATCCAGAGATTTAAAATACATCAAATATATCGCGTTAAAAGCCGAGTTCCCATCAAAAAAGAACGTTTTCCGAAAAAAGTGGCTAGTAAAGCAAACAGTACGAAATATCTACGTGTTTTTATTTTCAACCCTGCACCTCTGTGACCGTCTGTGTGTTGTGTGTGCGTTTTGTGTGCAAATGTGTGTGATGTGCGCTTGTTTTGTTTTGACTAAAATCTCATTCGAGTAGTTCTTTTCACAAACAAACATCATTTATCAGTTTATCAGAAAACTAGGCCGAGCTTCAGTTGGACGAATAAGCACGCATTATGGCCAAAATTTGCCGTGATACCGTCCGCTGATAAAACCGAGTGGCAACTCCGAGTGGTCACCATGTATACAAAAACAAGAAACGATGATGAAAGCGAGTCGCGCGATAAATAAATGAAAAGCGGAGGCGCAGCAGAAGAAAAAGCGACCCAAAACGAATAGGGCGAATAGCAGAATCGTCGCTTCTGTTTCGACAAACACGCACAGAAATCAGCAAAAAAAAATAAAATAAAATAAGAAAAATAGAGGACCCAAAAAAAGGCACCAAATACGTTAGAACTCCTTAAAATTTCACAGTGTATCGTACGAATATCAAATATTGCAGAATCCCAAGCTGCGGCTACCTTTTTCTTTCAAAATCCTTAAGTAAGTGCGGGCGAAGAGCGGAAAGAGCGCGTGAAGAGAGGAGAGGCGGCAAGTAAATTTGAGCCCGAATTTCCGATTGAGGTGACTTCCTGGGAAAAGTGAACTGATCCAGGTAATCCTACATACATAGGTTCCTGGTATCCTCGATTTCCCATATGCGACATACGGCTTTCCTTCTTGTTTTGCCCGCCCACGCCATTCTTCTTGCTAACTGTATAGTGTTACTGTGTGTGCTGCGCCGTCCGTGTGTGTGGGTGTGTTTGTGTGTGTACCTGTGTGTGTTGGTGCTTGCACTTTGCGCGCGCTTACCGAAATCATTTTCGTTTGCATTTATTTATGATTTAAAATTTACCATCCGCAGTTGTGGGAAAGCCAATAGCAGTTTTTTAAACCCAAATATACCGTTAAAACAAAAAAGCATTACCAAAGTTCCAAACTTCATATTCGATTCTATTTATCAATAAAATATGTACCTATAAAACATACCAAGTTATATGAAGATTTTTTCCCTATTAAGTTTGGCGATATCTTCCACATCGCCCTATTACTTTGCAATACAATTATAGTCATTGCAGTTTTAGTTCTGATATTGGTTTTTCCAAGCTGGATATCCATGATATGTAAACCAAACCCAAACCTAAGCCCTCCTTTGTTTACTAATACAAAATAATAATTGAAACCACTTTATTAATATTTTGCAGAGACGCTTATCATCAGGCGGTTATTATGAAAGGTTATGATTTGATTCCAATACTCCTAAATACATTTAAGCTAAAACTCAAAGCATTCATATTTTGTTGCTAAGCGAGGTTTTGTCTCCTAACATGAGCCCTAACTTCCTTGAAACAATTCCAGATTTTATCACGATCGTTCTTATATGTGGCATGTACTAATATAACTCTCTTCTATATACCGAACAGGCAATCATTATAAAATGTCTCGTAACAAAGACAAATACGACAGCGCCAATCGGAGGCAGCAGATCTTTCTGTCGCAGGAGGATATCGCTGCTGGCAAGAAGACGAACTGGAGTGGCCTGGAGATTACTGGTGGGTTATCACTCGCTAAATCCCTAGAAATATCATACTAATTCTATCATATCTCTTGTTACAGGCTGCGTTCGCAATATCAGCCCGTCGCTGTGGGAGTTTGAACATCTAACCGCCCTCTACCTGAACGACAACCAGTTGCTGCGATTGCCCGCAGACGTTGGCATGCTGACCAGCCTCCGAACCTTGGACCTGTCCAGCAATAAGCTAAGAAGTCTGCCCGCAGAGCTTGGCGAGCTCATCCAGTTGCGGTGAGTTTGTGGGATGTCATAGAAAATAAAGGACACTGTAAACTGTTATATTATATCCTATCATTAAGTTTGGAATTCACTGTCCAGGCGCAGGACCTATTGATCACTGATGCATGCTTTTCACTAAGTCACTCCATTGCCTTTCCTCCTTTTAGGGAACTGCTGCTGAACAACAACTTTCTGCGCGTACTGCCTTACGAGATCGGCAAGCTGTTCCACCTCGTCATACTCGGCCTCATGGGCAATCCGCTGCAAAAGGAGTTCATGAACATCTACAACGAGCCGAACGGCACGCAGAAACTGCTCACCTACATGCTGGACAACTTGTCATGTGAGTCCCCCTATGTCTATCTAAATCCCTGTGTGTGTGCGCCCGGTGCGTGAGCAGCTCCTGACCAGGTGTGTGTCTGGCGTCTGGCTGCGTGTGTGCATGTGTGGGGTAAAAAGGAAAGCACGCGAAAAAGGCTTCCGAAAAGAGAAAGTTTTCGAACAAACTGCGGGATCAAGGGTATTTCAACTATCTTATTGGACTTGATGGGACCTTATTGACAAAAAGGAAGCTTCAAGTGGGAGAAAATCTTTTCATGTGCTAACAGCACATATATATGTTTATTAGGAAATGTAGGGCAAATAATTTATGGGCAAATCCTGGAATAAGAGCTTAATATCTATATTAAAACTGATGTATTTACATATAGTGTTATATATAGTGGTGCGTCCGTAATCAAGCGCAGCTAGTTAGCTAATCTTTTGTCGCACACCAGGATAGGCCATAAAACCTGTTGCCAAAGCCATAATTAAAGTTCAAACTCACGGCTGCCCATTAATGCCAAAATAAAATACATAATGCCCGGGCATCAATTAAAAATGTCTAATTGAATGAAACAATTACAACAATTGGCGGAGTTGGCCAAAAGAACTGCACGACCTCGACATGCAAAAGCCAAGAGCCGCTCTCCAATGCAAGTTGGTCCGAAAGAGAGCCGGCAGCTGAGCGTTCGTGTGAGCCAAGTGTGGAACGTAAGAGATAGAGAGAGAGAGAGAGTGGTCTTAACGGCTTTTACTGTTAGCCGGGCCTCGCTGTCGATCGCGTTTAGCAGCTGACTTCAGTCTGCCGCTCGCTTGGCTACGAGGCGGACGCACTAGCTCCACTCTGCTCCCCAATCTCTCTCCAGGTGGAAACCCGTTCGCGAGCGTCGCGCATGCGCCGTGTGTTTCGTAATTGCGATCGCGTCGTGTCCCAGTTTCTTGGCGTTCGCTTTTCATTTCGTTGCGGTGGAATCGTTCGACGTTGGCCAACCGAAATGCCTCTCTGGTAGCTGGCTCGCTCAAGCCGAATAATCTAACCCAGCGGCCAAGTGATGTGCAATCGACTCGATCCGCCGACAGGATTCAGTTTGGGACTAAGACAAAAACAGTATGAGATCGCATGTGGCCGTTTACAGGGCGCCAGAATCAGCAGCACCACTACCACCGCCGCCCAACTACGCTTCCCTGCGATATCACCAGCATCCGCTGAGCCATTGGCCGGGTAGCCAGCATCCAGCTCCTGTGTACAGGCTGCATCATGGTCCGCCGTCGGCATCACCACCCAATTGGGCAGTTCAGTCGGCCGGCCAACCACCTCAGCCTGCTGGCTATGGAGTGGTCAATCAGCAGCGGATCAATGAGTGCGCCGGCATACCGCTCATCTCGAATGCCTCCAGTCACCTGTCGCCAGCCCAGCGACAAAGATTGCTGAGGAAATCCGCCCTTAAAACATGCCCAACTTGGCCCCCTGGAGGGGCCACTATGTCCCAGTTGGCTGCGCATGCCCAGGGCATGCCGCTGCTCCAGCACAATGGCAAGCAGCATCTCCAGCAACAGCAGCAGCTGCAGCACCACCAGCCACAGCATCACCACCATCCTGTGGCCAACAACTGGAGTGCCTATCAGCCGATGAGCAGTCAGGCAGGTTTCAAGTTGGTTGACAAATCTCGAGCCCTTCGCTATCAGAATTCGGCACCACCTGTGCTCAGCAGCCAGGAGAAGACGTCCAACAATGCTGCCAGCCAGGATCAGGGCACTTCTCCAGCAGAGACCTGTCTGCCGAGAATCATTAAACCGAGGAAGCGCCGCAAGAAGGATCGCAAACCTGGCAATGGGGTTTTGCTCAAAATTGAGACGGATATGCAACCCAAGATTAGCAATCCTCTAGACGGTTACACCGCGAGTGCGGGAGGATCTTACCACCTACCATCTGGAATATTGCAGCATGATCATACGCACGGTGTTTGCTTCTGCCGAGAATGTGACCCACTTCGTTCGCTTTGGGATTACCCGCTCCGGCGATCGCTTTCCGATGCCTCTTCCAGCGAGCAAGGAGGCGGAAGCCGGGAGTCCTCCTCCTCCACCTCATCCACGCACTCAGACAGCTCCTGCGATAGCTCCATTTGCAGCCAGAGCCTGCCCAGCTCATTGGCCTTGCAGGAGGAGACCACCGAGGAGTTCGCTCCCATTACCGGCGATAGCAGCCGGGCGGAAAAAGTGGGCGTAATCGGATCCCAGCGGAGTCATCCGAGCGCAGTGACCACACCTTCGCAATGCCTGAGCGATGATTCCGGCTACGGGGATATCCTGAGTGGAATTAACATTGCCAACGATCTGTTTGGAAATTGCTGGCGAGGCGGGAAGCTGGGCAACGCCTCCTCCCTGATTTCCGCCCAGGCGGAGACGCTGCTCGATGAGAGTCTGAATGAGATATCACGCAAACTGATCGAGACCTGCAATGCGGTAGATCAGGCTGGATCGGAGTCGGGATCGGGATCGGGATTTGGATCGGGTGCAGCCAGCGACAGCGGCTTGGATAGCGCTGGCAGCCACAACTGCGGATCGGGTCTTGTCTTTAACTTTGAGCATTTGAATCTGACGGATGCGACGCCCACAGCCTTGGATTTTCTCGTGGATTGCAACAACAATAGCAGCAGCAGCACCACTGCCACCACCACCACCATTGGCAACAGCAACAGTTTGGGTTTGATGTGGCACGGGGGAAGGCAGCCTAGTGGAGGTGGCTGCCACGATGACAGCCAAGTGGCAGCTGCCAAACTGGGACCAGACAGCCGGGCCACACCCACCAGGCTGATATTGGGCACGGTGGGTAAGCTGAAGCCAGCGTTTTCCACCATCTCGTGACGATGCCAGTGGAAAACTAATCAAATCCAAAGCCATGAAAATGGGAAACGCGACGAGGTATCGCAGCCCAGAAAGTGGCTCATTTTGCGACGATTTGGAGAAACGTGAGACGAGATACGGATGCGTGGGCGCTTTTGGATTGGGAAATGTAAATCTCCTCGATGGATTTTTGAATTTCTACCCAACCCAAGTTGCGCAACCCCAGCGAACGCGACGGAGAAAGAAGAAAACCCATTAAATGGATATAACGCACATGTGAGGCGATCATCATCATCATCAACAACAACATCAGCTTCGACGTGATCGGAGCGAAAAACAAAAGGCCAACGAGTTGACCAAATGGGCGCAGGCAGGCAAGCAGGCTGTTGGAAGCGATCCCCGGCTAAATGGAAACTTATATAGACAGGCCGGGACTGGAAACCATGTACATACGAATCCCAGTCCGACTTCCACTTCAACTTTCACTTTCACTGCGGCGGCGGCAGCGACGGCAGCGACGGCGACGGCGTTTTGTATATCTGTATTTTTTAAGACATTTTTCTTTTCTTTTTCTTTTTGCAAAGACCACAGATCCACAGATGACGGAGCTGCGGGTGGGGGTTACGGGAAGGGTGCGACTCTTATGCAGATTTTGTGGCGCAAAAAGAAGAAGAAACTGTAGAAATCGTGTAGATGTACGATGTGAACTCTAGAGATACTTTAACTATACCCCCATATCTCCATCTACCTTACACATACAATTAGTTGTTCAATTGTTGTTATTTGTGCATTAACGTATTCCATAGGGCCAACAAAAAAACCTAGCAACCCAAAATCTGTACTTCCCAAAATCTGGGATTTATATAGGGGCATATGGGGTCGGTCCATGGGTGTTAATTTTTATCGTAGAGCTTAGGCAACGTTCCTACATGTTAGTTTTGTATCTTTATATATTTTTTGGGTTCTATTTGATTTAAACTGATTAGTTGGTTTGGTTTTTACTTAGTCCGTAATCGAAGCGCTACAACGTGAACTTTTATAGTCGATAAGTTATATTTATATTGGGCAAACACAAAAACAGATTGGATCTCTAGTGGCTTATAGCGATGTTCTACTAAAAGCTTATATCTGTGCTTAGGCCCAAAGGGGTCAGCTAATTTATTATTTTATAAGGAGGTGGAGTTTTCAACAAGCCCTGTTCAGTTTCCTACATCGAATAAAGAAACGAAATACTTAAACGCTCAGAAGATTCGTTTCGAGCTGAGAACTCATTCTTTCCAATTGAATATTCATAAGTTTAAAGTGAGAGTTTCATTCTCTGCGGCGCTTCATTCAGTTTATTCATAGGTGACCGGTATCCATATCGCGTTATATCTTCGATCTAAGATTCGCATTTTCGACTTGTCTGCAAATTGAGTATCATAAAACAGACGAGCGAAGATCTGGTGCACAATTAATTCCAACTGGGATCGCCAAGCATAAAATCTAAATCTGAAAATCGAGAGCAGCCCTAGTTACCTGCTTACCTGTGTTGCAGTTAGTCGGCGAGTAAAAGTTTTCGCCTTATTTTTAATTAAAAGAAACTCACGAACGCGCAGCGCGCGCAGAAATTGCTTGAAGTTTTCCGCTCCGCTCTGCTCGACTCCTCTGGCTCAAGTTGGCTCAACTTGGCTCGACTTGGCCTGGCTGAAATTAACTTGGCTCGAATCGTGTTGGCTGAGAGTAGCAATCGCAGTTGTCTCAGCATCTCGGTGCTGGAAAATGTCACAGATTTTCCATTGGCAGGTTCCGGCAGACAGTTTGTGTTACCATTCCCCAGATAGAAATTACCGCTCGCAGCTAATTTATTTAATTAATATTTTCACTAGTTCGTATTGTGTGCGCTCGCTCCCGCATTCTTATTGTAGTGTTTGTGTTTGTTCGTAAGCATCGTTTTTGCACAAATAACAATCCTATAGTTAACCCGATCCCATCAATACACACACCGCATTTGTAACCCACACACAACAAAAAAAAATGAAACACACACACAATATGGCCAACTTATTTATTTTGATTAAGCCCGAACGAGAACCCAATAAAAAGTGTAAACAAAAATGTCAAACAAAAAGAACTTGATTGCTGTTTTGATAGCCCCAAAAAACACCAATGTGTAAAAATAAAATGGGGGAAAACAAAAAATCAAACTCCATCATCTGTAATGAGGCACGTTTGAGCCGCGTTTGGAGCCGGAAAAGCAAACAGAAGTCGTCGGCTTTTCTAGGCCTATCCAACGAATTCCCAGACGCACTGCACCAAACAGCACTCGAAAATGAACTTTCCAAACATTTGAAGATGCCCATCGCTTAGAGAAGGCCGCGCTGCGCAGATTTCAATTACCGAGTGCCGCCGAGTGGGAACCTTTCACCCGGGTGAATCTGCTTGTGGTTGGGCTGTCTTTGCCGGCTTTCGCAAAAAGATTAACCGCTGTCATAACCGTAACCGGCAAATTAATTTCTGGGCATTTTGTGCCCGTCATTAGGCTAATTAATGTCTCCATTTTAGGGCCTCATTTCGAGTTCTGACCAGCTAGCCAGCAGTCTTCTAGCTGGCTAAGTGCCTGTTAGGTCAGCTTCCAACATCAGCAGGGCTCTTTCGCAATAGCCGGCAAACCTCTGGAGATCCGTGCTGGAGTTCCATGCTCCATGCTCCATGCTGTTCCATGGTTCGCACTGCGGACCCGGACAACGGACGAACGTTGAGTGGGTCAGTGGATAATTGGGTCATTTGCAACACTGTTTGCGCCATCAGCCGCCATCTAGCACCACTGAACCGCCGAACCACCGGCCGGCCAGCCAGCCAGCCAGCCAGCCAGCCATCCAGCCAGCGGTGGCTAATGTGTTTTGGGTACGTCAATAAATGCGTCGCGCTGCTCGGCTGTCATAGTTGTTGTTCTTGGTCATAGATGATATGGCCGGTGGCCAACGAAGCGGGGCCATCTCTCTTGGCGTCTTCCAACATGCTAGTTGTTCGCTTTTCCTTCTGGCCCCTGAAGTTTAATTGTTTTTCCTCACCTTCCGCAGCTGCGGGTATTTCAAATTTGTCGTTCTATTCGCTGGGGTTTCGAAATGTCAACCTTTTTGGACATGAAAGATGTTTTAGCAACGCTTTTGGTCTAATTGGGAAATCTAAATGTTTACATGAGTCATCGTAGTAAATCAATTACATCCATTCTCAATAAACTAGTTTGTATATTATAATCGAATGTTTATACATTGTTATTAAATGTTGTAGAGTATACATATATGTTTAGCTAATAAAATGGGTCAAAGCCTAAAAAGTAATGCATTTAAATGTTCCTACTATTTAGTAAGGGTAAACATATTCTTCCATTTTCTATTTCTGTAATTTTTTAGTTAGCTTTCCTGTCGTTCCGACTCCATTTCCCCCAAGTTTTCTAGTCAATTCGTTTAGCCGCTTTTCCAGTTGACTTTTCTTTGGCTAGAAATTAGCATTTCGCCATGAAATTGAAAGTTTCAGTTTCCAATTAACTTGGCCAGTTTAGTGGGTCACATACACACACTACACACCGGTAGTTCATCCTCAACAACATCTTCTTGGTGCGGAGTTGCCCAAGTTCCTATCTCCACTTCCTCTGCGCAGAGGCGCACAGAAAAAAGAAAAAAAAACGCGGTTAATCGGGATAAAGGCCAAATGTCTTCGAAAAAGGTTACGCAAAATGTCAAACAGTTAAGAATCCAACTGCTAACGGCCACACAAATGTCATTATTACACTTATTCTCCACTTTTAATGCCGTCTGCTCGTTCGCTGGGTCGTCTTAAAGTGGTTTTCTTGATTTTAGCCGGCACTGTTGTGGATTTTCTTTTCAGCCGTTCTCGTGTTGACTTGACTGTGGATTTTCACAGACAATTGCCGGTTGCCACTTGTCTGGCCCATTAGCCAAACTATACCCACACTATTCATGAGCCACTCGAAGCAAGATGAAGGGCTCCACTTTTTGAATAATTCGGTGGAGTAGATGTTGTTTTCAGTTGGGCAACGTGTAAATTTGATTGTCTGTGTGGATAGCAGAAACAGAAGAAGATGTCATTAAAAGTCACGTACTTCTCCTTGATGTTCGGTTGAATTCAGAGGGAAATTATTAAAAACTACATTGACATGCAAAAAGTAGGTTAAATAAATTTTAACTTATACTACTAATGTAACTTGTTAACAACTCATAGTAATTAAACCTTACGAATGAAAAATGTTCGCGGGGCTGAAGCTGTAAAAAGCCAATGGTTCAGAACTGAAAGTATGCCAGTATTACCTAACACCAGTTAATTGGGTCACTCTTTTTCCTCACCCATTAAAGACGATCAGGCTTGATTAGGTCACCAGTGGCGACTGCAAGCCCAGAAGCAGAAGATGGTCTTTAGAACAAAGCGCAAGCGATTGAGCCCATCCAACATGACCATTCATCCATTTCATTGTCATTGCGCCAGATGGACTACTACATAATATATTATATTATATATCTGTATATAAGACTAGATCTCGCAATGCGACGCTGCAGCCTCAAATGACGAAATCATTTGTTGCACGGAGGAAGGGGTCTAATGTCTCGCCTGTGTCGTAATCTCCCGGGGAAAGAGCGAAGATGCACCATCGTGGCTTGGAGCCCATAAATCAAGTAGACGGAGAACGGCCAAAGGGCTGGTGTTAACTCCTAACTCTTTCTGTCATTTAATGCCGTCGCATTTGTAGCCTACTATGCCCTCAGAAAGGTTTATGCGATATATGCTTTCATAATGGGTATAACTAGGATCCTATCCTATGTAGAACTCCATCATCCTCAGATTGATCACAAAAGATGACCCTAGCTTACCTGGGAAATCATTTTGTAGAGTATACCGAGCTTCGGTCTTTAAACCGACCATTGCTTCTTGTTGTAACTTATTCTTCCTCATCTTTTGTACCTTTTTTTGTGTCCGCTCACGAAATGGGCACAACATGAATTAATTTTTTTCTGTTTCTGGCTTTTTTCCGCTTGCCACTCGCAGTGGCCCACCGTTGGTTGTACAAATTTTGACGCTCTATGTAGGTTTATAACTCGATTCGTCTGAGCTTTATTGTTACTACCACTGCCTTTTTTTATCCGTTTTTCTGGCCGATGACGATGGTTTTGTGTGTGTTGCATACGATGCTGTTGTTGCTGTTATTGTTGTAACTGTTACCTAATCGTTTAATTGGCTTAAGTCGGTTGATGATCTCCTGCCTCCTCTGGTCGCTTTATTATACGTAAGTCTTCTCGTTTTCGGCTTTTATTTAATTCAATTTTTATGACAACTTTGTGCTTTGTAATGCATTTTAAACGCATCGCGGCGTCATCGATTCCCACAACGTTTGCCGATTTTGTGGAGCATGCCGAATCGTAATGTGGGAAGAGGAAGTGGAGCGAAAATGTATCGCAGGCTGTGGACCTGGGCAGTACCCTGTAAAGCTCACCAAAACCCTGTTAAAGCAAATTTACATATAACACTTAAGTAAAGATAAAGGATCCAATAGGATAAGATAGGATAGGATCAAATAAAGGTATATGCTATTATATATATGATCCAATATGATCCAATTATTGTTAGTGTCACTGTCAATTAATATAAAAGAACCATATAGGATCCCTGAGGATTCTCCTCTTAGTCATATCATATCATCATATTGCGCGGTTTTATATGTTGTGTGCTCCCTTTAACGATAACCCTTTTGGCCAATATACCCCGGCTTTCGCTCCATTTAGTATGACAAAACGGCCCCAAACAACCGAAATGGTTTATTTATATAGCGAAACCGGTATTTATTACTGCAATTGGGAGTGAAGAAGCAGCGAAGCAGCAGATGATGATATTAGTGCCAAAAATTATAATAGTGTGGCGAGGGCAGTAACAAAGCGGCTGATTATTTGTGGCCCGGTGCCTAGCCACGCCCCTCCGCCCTGTGCCGCCTCTTTGTCCGCCTTTGTGAATGTTAACGGTTATTTCGGTTACGAAATGTGAACTTTTTTCTGTCCGGGTTTTATATTATTTTGTGCTTTGTCACGGCGAAGCTTTTTCCGTTTTTATTTTCATTGCTTGTTGGGTCGATTCGTTGGTTTTTTTTTTCCAGTTTTTTGTGGAGTAATTCGCATAATTGGCCCATATTTCTTATAAATATGCATCTGAAATCGGAAATGTTTTTCGTCTGGTCGCCTTGCCTTTGTTATTATTGTTTTAAATGCGGAAGTGAGCTTACAGCCTGTTTTCATTTCGTTTTGGTTTTGGTTTCGTTTTCGTTTGCCGGTTGTTTTGGCCCGGCTTTTTGGGCTTATCAAGGTTGTTGTTGCGTAAAAGGAAGTGCAAATGGTTAGAAAGTTTAATGGCCAGGGAATGGGCCGAACTGCACTGGGAAAAAATCAAGTATTTCCTGCTTAAGACCCCTCGTTGCGAAGAGGAAAAAGGCGAGGAGAAAAAAACATGCATCATGGCTGCGATTTCTCTACTACACAGTCATTTTTAGTATTTAAGAAGCCATTCTTAATTAAAGACCTCACGAGTTTTAGCACTTCATTTCGCTAAAAGAAACTTACTTATCCAATATATTACTTTAATCACTCTTGTTGCCCCAATACATCTCTCTGTCTTCTGGAAGAAATAGTTTTAAATGGGTTAATTTATTAGTTCTTCGCGTGGTGAAATGTTAGAAACTAAAGATTTCACCTCTAAAAACTTGGAAATCTTAACCAAAAATGTGGAATTAATAAAAACCAAATTTACGAGCAAATATATTTGGTTTGTTTTGGTATTGCGCTATTTTTATATGCTGCCTATTATTTTTCTTAAAAATCGTTTATGAGGAGATATTTGGATTTAGAGAGTAGGATTAATGCATGCTTTGCATGTAGAGATTTATTTATTGGTATTATTTATGATAATACCAAAATAAAATTGCTTCCCGTTTTTAATAGGTATTTGGTTTATTTGAGTAATAAATGTTATTATAGTTGCATTTCCCAAACTATGAGTAGCACTTAGCGTCCAGTAGTTAAGATTTCCAATTATAGTTACTTTTTGCTCGCGATCTTTGAATAAGCTGTG